TCATAGCTGCAGTCTTACTCGAGAAGGACATCGAAACCCTCATGCGCAACGATCCGATGCTGCTTTACCCAGGGTTACGCTTGAGCAAGTGCGACGAGTTCTATTTAATCGGAGTCATCATAAAGATGCACATTCAAAATTTCGCTCGGATTCAGTTATGGAAAGTGACACATTAGGGGTGTAATGGGGAACATTTTCTAGAGTATTAGACGATGCTTTACGCCAATTCCAAAGTCCCCTTAGTCAGTTCACCCTACGTTCTCTCTTTTCTGAAGCTTTAATTACCCTGGGACCGAAAGGAAGGAGATTGATCCAGATAAGGTCCATTCTGCGATAAGAATCCTGTAGCAGAATCTAGGTAGCATGGTATTATTACAGCTTCCACGATAGACAGGCTATGCGGATTTGGCAACAGCCTCGTCGTATATGGTAGAAGGCCATTTTTTTTGAAAGTTCTCCAAACTACCTCAAGGAACCAAACATGGAACATAGATGCGGATATTCTTTTAAAGGCACCGTTAGCAATAAATTTAGGGTGCCCTTTTTTGACGGGAATTGATAGAACTACTCTAGAATAAAGCGGAAAAAATCGCAAAAACGATGAACAAAAAGAATTACATAGGGTCAAAAAAGTGCTGGAAAAGGAGGTTGGACGAGTTTCACATTGAAATAACAGCGGTTAGGGAGTGTTCTGGCAAATTGGCAAATTGCCATGTGTTGTCTGCATGATCCAAGAAAGGATGAAGTCATTGTCGTATAATTTAGGAGACCTTATACGTACACAAGTACGTGTACACAAGTACTTCTGGTTTGCAATTCCAGTGAGCGACTTAGCAGAGCTAGAATCAAATTTATACTCACTCCCAAGATTAGAAAGGTAGCCCTCAGGAGCGAACTTGCGCTAAAGCGAATGCTCGAGCACGTGAAGGACTCTGATTCATACAAGAGCACTGACGAAGTCGAAAGAAAGAATGAGAAAATTGCATTCACTCACAAGTGGAGCACCTGAGCAAGTTGCAGCCAATGCGAGTTTCCTCCACGCGAACTCTGATAGAGTGGTTCTGATAGTATGCACTCTGATGCGATAGTATGCATTGTCATGCTGCTCCGAAATTTCGAGAAATTCAAAGGTCTTTGCGGTCAGAACCTATTGTGGATCAGTTCCGCTAACGTGTGTTTGGTTGCCGATTTGCCACTGGACTAGATACAAATGACTATTTCTATGGAATTGGCCATGAGGTGACTCCCATCCATCGCAATTGAGAGGGCTTCTGGAACTGTGAGTTACCGTGGAAGGTGTGGGTCGGCATGATGAACTCGAACAGCTTTTTCCCCCGTTCATTCCCTTCCTTTCCGTGAGTCCGATGTGGAGCTCTTAAGCCGTTTCTCTCGAGCCAATCTTGGCACTAAAATTAACGACGATGACCTTTAAGAAAGTATGGTCTTCTCTGCAGAGCCTCTCCAGATCCATATGAAACGATTCCAGCTTCTCTTCTTCGTAGCTCCATGTTGGTACGAAGGCAACGAAGACTGTAAGAGCTGGGGTTGAGCCATGTCTTCTTAACCGCAAACGTCAGATTCGGGTTGTTATGCTTGCTTCGAAGGAGCTGTAGTGGAGGGGAAGACAATGGGAACGACAGAGGCAGTTGGAATGATAACACACATCTCCTCCAAACAGCAGATTTATAGTGTTATATTCGGGTTATATTAACAACTACACTACATCTCCTTCGGAAATCCTATGAGTGGGTACACTGACCCATGAATCTGTAATCTGAACTCAGTGTAGTTTTTTAGTTCAAGTTCCATCTGTCGTTCCCGTCGTCTAGACCACAACTGCGAGTCGACTACCGCATCAGTGTGCAACAGTGGTACAGTCACCGGCTCAGGATGGGCACTAAGTGCCCTTGCTAGTCTTCCTGCTGGTCGGGTCCATTTTGCAGGTTTCAAAAGCAGACTCTACAAATATCATAGAAATGGGAACCCCATACCATCACACTTCCTGTTGGTGCTTAGAGATGTGGACCATATCGGCTGCAGTCTCCTGAACATATCTCTTGCTTTTACAATCCTTCTACGGACATCCTTTTTGATATGGCCATTGCTTGTTATCACACTCTCGAGTACATTCCACGTTGATGTTCACATTATGAGCTTAACCAGCTGACATGAATTTCGACTTATTGGCGCTAAATCGTAAGCCGATACTGTTCGCTTCTTTAATGAGAGTATAGGCGACCTTTCGCAGTTGGTTTTGGTCACTTTAATAATAAGTGTTATGTCATACGCAAAATCCAGATAAATGAGCCTACCATTGTTAAACTAGTTCGCGCCTGCCGTTGTTTGCTGTTTGTTTTCCTCATGACAAAAAAATAGGCAGATGTTCAAAAGCAGTGACCAAAGGATCTTTCCTTGCAGCACTCTCGTAACGATTTTGAAGAATGTTGCATAACTCTTATCCGTTTTACACAGCGCGATGAGTTGAGATACCGATTCCTGAAAAGGCGAACAGAAGGCCTTGGTATGCAACACATCCTGAGGGTTTCCCGTAATGAGTCACTTTAGAGGCTATCAAATTTTTTTTAAAGTCCACAAAATTGATGAAGATTGGATGTTCAAACTCAATGCACTGCTAGATAGTGTTACGAATTAAAATTTGCTCGCAACACGATTTCCACTTCTGGACAAAACCTAACCTTCCCTTAATCAGTTAACGGAGTCGCCGCAACCCTATGATACAAAATGCTCGTTCTGGGACCGAAAGAAATGTGACATCTCTCCAATTTTTGCAGTCCGATGAATTTTCCTTTTTAGGTAGCTCAACTACTCCTTCCTCCAATTCTCTGGGAAATTCCCAATCCAACAATGGTTACACTATTCCGTGAGCCTCTTCACTATCGTACTGCCACCCGCCCTCAAGAATCCTGCTAGAATCTTATAAATGCCAGGAGCACTCCTGTGCCGAATTGCTTCGGCTGTCACTTTTGGGGTTATACTGCTAACGTTGAGCGCATCTTCAGACAGGATTTTAAAAATGCAAAAAAGGGTTCTTGGATCCCCTTGTCTCGCAGCTCGGTGGGCTTTTGCTCTCCTATGCAAAATCAGACTTTCCTGTCTTGGCGACAAGTACTTTCCATGGATGGATCCATTTTGACAAATAGCATATTGTTCTATTGTTCTTCTAGTTCGTTCCACAAGCTTGTCTTCATTTTTTGCTTGCTCTCTCCGAAACATCCAACGTTCCCTCTAATATCTGCTAGGTGCTTTCCTAGATCCACTGTTCATTTTGCTTCCTGTGTACTCGACCAACTATTTTCTGAGCACATCCCTGGATAGCTTGATTAACGAATGTCCATTCTTCCAGAGTATTTCCCTCTTTCAGTACTTCAAAGCGATTCCGCGATTCCAGAGCAAAGCTTGCAATGGTGCCCAGATCTATCAGCTTCCCTTCAACAAATGATTGGGTGATTTTGACTTTCTTCACTTGCACCTTCAGCTCAAGTTCGATTGAGTCCTTCACCAATTGATAATTTTAATTTATGTCTGCGATTACGATTCGCGCCGCGATTATTCTCTCACTCAAAGTTTTCCATCCGACCAGTGCCTAGGCTGCTCTCTTGCTCAACCCGATTCCCCCTCCTCTTTCATGCATTACATCCTGTTTGGAGAACAACATAGCTTTTCA